AGTCATGAAGTCCTTGCCCATGCCTGTGTCCTGAAGGGCATTGCCTGGATTTTCTTCTAGGGTTTTTATGGTATTAGGCCTTATTTTTAAATCTTCTGTGCATCTGGAGTTAACTTTTGAATAAGGTCTAAGGAAGGGATCCAGTTTCAGCTTTCTGCATATGGCTAGCCAGTTTTCACAACATCATTTATTAATTAGGGAATCCTTTCCCATTGGTTGTTTTTGTCAGGTTTGTCAAAGATCAGATGGTTGTAGATGCGCGACATTATTTCTGAGGCCTCTGTTGTGTCCCACTGGTCTGTATCTCTGTTTTGGCACCAGCACCACGCTGCTTTGGTGACTGTAGCCTTGAAGTCGGGTAGTGTGATGCCTCCAGCTGTGCGTGTGTGTGTGTGTGTGTGTGTGTTTTCGCTTAGGATTGGTTTCCTTTGTAAAATTGTGTGTTTCATTCTGTGCATTTAAAGCATTAAGAAATGTCCCATAAGCTTCACTGCCATGGGGTCCATGCCACAGAAAAAATTAAAAGCAAGTAACTAGCAGTAGCTATTTTAATCACATAGCAGTACCTACAAGTAGTGTGTGGGTATTGTGTCTCAGATTTCAGGGGAGCTCAGGTATAAAGAAATAGGCTTGTGGCCAGAAACTGAAAAAAAGGATCTGTTCAGCACAGGAAGAATCTGGGAAACGTTCTCTTATCAATTTCACCTCCCACTATTCAGTTCTTCCACGAACAAGCTAAAAAACAGAAAAAGACAGGACGGAAAAATGCATGTGAATAACAAAGGATGTCATCTCTGACAGAATGTTTGAGTCTTTCCTCCTAGTGGCAAATTTTTTTAGGTTGACATGAGGCAGATAGGCATACCATTGTCATGCATATTCAGCCGCTTTGGAGCACACTGGTGCAGCTAACAAAAATAGACCCAGGCAAAATCAACGGTGGGGCTGTTTCTCCCCTTCCTGTTTATTCCCCCAGCCCAGTATATAATAATAAAAACAGTGAAGCTTTGATGAGTTTCTTGATGAGTCAGGGAGGAGAGGAAGAGAAAATGCATTTTTTCCCCTCTGTGGTGGGGAGAGACTTAGCAAAGAAGAGAAGGCCAATGTATCAGTGCTCTCAGGAGCCTCCATGCTCTGATTTGGGCTCCGGGATGGAACTGAGCTCACAGAAGGAGATAGCTCACAGGTGCACCAGGGTGCATGAGCCATAACCTGGGATCCTGTGGCTACTCCTGGGTGAACCATGCTTCCAGGAAAGGCTGTCTTCTCCTCTGGTGGTGGACTGCTTGGTCCAGACATCCTGGGAGCTGCCTTATTGCCCCATGATGCAAAACATCTACTGTTAGCTTCATCTAACCCCACTGCATGGGCTCTTTGTATGTCAAGGGCTAAATGGGAGTGGATATTAAACCCTGGATTTGCTTCATAGTCTCTAGAATTAATAAGGAAGGCCATGCATGGTGGCGCACACCTGTAATCCCAGCACTTTGGGAGGTCAAGGCAGGTGAATCACTTGAGGTCAGGAATTCAAGACCAGTCTGACCAACATGGTGAAAACTCATCTCTACTAAAAATAGAAAATTAGCTGGCACAGTGGCACATGCCTGTAATCCCAGCTACTTGGGAGGCTGAGGCAGGAGAACTGCTTGAACCCAGGAGGGGGAGTTTGCCATGAGCTGAGATTGCACTCCAGCCTGAGCAACAAGAGCAAAACTCCATCTCAAAAAAATAACATTAAATTAATAAGGAAGATATAGAAGGATGGATGAGATAAACAGAGAAGGAATGGAATGCAGGGGTAAGGATGTGTGATGCACAGCTAAGCATATTAACCATCACCACATGTGGCTAAGTGTGAAGAAAGTATGGGATGTGGGGTTTCCCTTCTGCAGGGAAAGTCCTGAGTCTTTACCTGGCCTGGATCTTTTACTTCACAGGCACTTACTGCTTTAAGAACCTCACAGATATTAACTCACTTAGTCATTAAATAAAGTAGTTACTAGGACTATCTTTATTTTACAGACAAGGGAAGGGAGACACAGAGAGGTGACAGGACAGGCCCTAGACACACAAGGGTGAGGGATGGCGTCAAAATGCTAGACTCATTAGATTGAGTGATATCCTTTCTGAATTTTGACACATGTAAGTGTGTATATCTCAGGTGAATCAGTCTGTGATTGCAGGTGTGTTTCCCTCACCAGCATGCTTTCTTACCGGTCCGTGGACATCCGCAAGAGCTTGCAGCTGGAGGAGCTCCTGGCAAGGGAGCAGCTGGAGTACACCATAGAGGAGGAGGTGGCCAAGCAGACCATCCGCATGTGGCTCAAGAAGTGCCTCAAGCGCATCAGAGCTGTGAGTGAACTGCATGTCTGCAGGTTGGGTCCCCGCCCCACCCCGAAAAAGGAGGGATGAAAGAAAAGGGCTTCGTGAGTGTGGGATTAGCCCCTTCTATGATCAGCCTTCTATCCCTTTAAACTCTGTCCACTTCCTCCACTTACAGTGATCAGATCATGACACAGACTTTCACTCTAGTCCACAGTCGGCCCTGCCCTCTTTAGCAGAGTCCATTAGAAGTTTCCATGGAATCCCATTTTAATATGACATGAAGACTTTAAAAGCAGTTTATTGGCCAGGCTCAGTGGCTCACGCCTGTAATCCCAGCACTTTGGGAGATCAAGAGGACGGATCACTTGAGGCCAGGAGTTGGAGACCAGCCTGCCAACATAGCAAAACTCCATCTCTACCAAAAATACAAAAGTTAACTGGGTATGGTGCACATGCCTGTAATCCCCACTACTCAGGAGGCTGATGCAGGAGAATCCCTTGAACCTAGGAGGTAGAGGTTGCAGTGAGCCAAGAAAGTGCCACTGTACTCCAGCCTGGGGGACACAGTGAGACTCTCTCAAAAAAAAAAGGCAGTTTATTGATATTAAAATATTTATGATGTCCATTTATTAAACTCAACTGTATAAAATTCTAAAATTTTCCACATATCAGATTTACAAAACGTTTAAATTGCTGCTAAAAATTTCAACAAACCATGATAATGTATTCTGAAAAGACTACCTCTCGGGATTAATAATGTTTCCTGCTTCCTGAATTATAAGCCTGTAAGATTATCTAACTCAAAAATTAATGAATGTATACTTCATTGGCATATACTGTGTTTACAGTGAATGTTTCTATGAGATAATTACTTTTATGAATGCTTTTGACACGTTTCACATTTGGGGGAAAAAGTAATCACTAAACATTTATATATAAAAGAAATTGTTTTTTAATCCTCTTTCTCAGAGCAGCAACATCAATTGCAGAAACATGTACTTCTATTGGAGGAGAAAAGGGTCCCAGAGAAAAGGTACAACTCAACCTCCTAGAGCAAGGCCAGCTGCCCAGTGATGTCCTGTCACTGCTGGCCACTGTAGCTATGTTAGCCCCAGTGATCAACCTGTCCTCCTCTGGCTCTGAGAGGCCACAAGGAGCCCCAGCTTCAGTATATTCCAAGACAGACCGGACTCCTGGGTTGGCCTGAAAACTTCAGAATAAAGACAAGAACAAAGGTTTTCTCATCCACCCGAGGCTCTCTGCCTCTTACAACATGCGGGAAAGTGGGAGAGGGGTTGGCATTGTATTGGTTTAATTAGCCTAGAATAAAATAAGAAGAGAAAAAGAGAATAGCTGTGTTAGTAATTTAAAACACAGGCTGGGCACAGTGGCTCATGCCTGTAATCCCAGCACTTTGGGAGACTGAAGCCAGAGATCACTTAAGACCAGAAGTTTGAGACTAGCCTGGGCAATAGAGTGAGACTTTTCCTCTCTAAAAAGAAATTAGCCAGCCACGGTCATGCACACTTGTATCTCAGCTTCTCATGAGGCTAAGGCAGGAGCATAGCTTGACCCCAGGAGTTTAAGGTTGCAGTGAGTTATAATCGTACCATTGAAGTCTAGTCTAGAGGACACAATGAGATTTAAAAAAAAAACAAAACAAAACAAAACAGAAAACACCAACAACAAACAACCAAAAAAAAAAAACAAAAATAAATAAAACACAAACATCGATGACCATCACTATTCCGACTGTTACACAAATGAAAATGGACTGGGAAGGTAATGCATAAATCTCCAAGCCCACCTTTGCATCAGCCTCCCTTAACTGAATATTGAAATTAGTTCAGGATCCTTATTTGGACATTCCTAAGGCGTCACCAATCATGCAGGTTTTGGAGAGGGGAGAAGAAAGTATGACGTGTGTGGCAGTGGGGCGGGCAGGATGCTGGGCTCACTTTACTGAACAAACAATCGCATTTCCATAGAAACAGCAGCAGTCGTGCAGTATCATCCACAGTCTGAGAGAGAGTCAGCAGCAAGAGCTGAGCCGGTTTCTGAACCCGCCCAGCATCGAGACCACCCAGCCCAGTGAGGACACGAACGCCAACAGTCAGGACAACAGCATGCAACCAGAGGTATGGGCACGAGCCGTCCTTCAGCCCGGGACACTCTGTGGCTTCCTTCTTTTAGTAAAAATAAACTGGGTGCTGGTCACATCATTCAAACAAGGTGCCAATATTTCTAATAGGAATATTTTCACTGAAAAACAAAAAACCAAGACAGTGGTAATCCACTGATCCAGATTATGTGTGTCTTTGCCACTTGGATGCAGTTGAGGTTATTTTAAAAGATTCTGATTCATATGAATACCAGAAAACATGAATGCCCTGAACTTCATAATCTGTAGTTTTATTTTTGTCTAAAGAGTAACCATTAGATCTAAGGGCTACGTTTGAATCTGGAAATACTATGTGACTTAGCAGAGTGTGGTTTCCATGCAGCTCTGCCCCAAATGTTTTCCTCCCCTCACCAAAGCCATAGACATTTGCAGTAAAATCAGTGAAAATGTTTGTAATTGGCCTTCAACCTCCTTATATAATCAGGCTTATTGAAGATGTATCCTTTCTTGGTTGGGTATCAGAAGAGTATATGGAATTCAGGAGAATTGGCTTGAGGTTGTATTTACTAGGTCACAACATATTTTCATTCTCAAACTCAATGTACGTGTCTATTTAGAAAAGTACAAGGAGTTATCAGCGTCCTGGAGAGTCCTGTGCTGTGAGAAGCAGCTGGCTGGGAGGACTTACCCCTTTATGAGGCAGCAATTATGATCTGAGGTTTACAACATGGAGCAGATCCTGTGCTCTGCACAGTCCCCAGCAGCACCAGGCTCCGTGGTGTGCAGCAATGGGGCCAGGGGTACATTTGGAAGCCTAAGGATCCATGGCCTAGCAGGGTGCTCCAGGAGACCTGCTGGTGCCACAGCCCACTTTGAGGTAGATTTCATGTTTTGGGCTTCCCAGCATGTAGAAATCATCTGCCATCGACTACAGGGATTTCTGCAGAGTTAGTTAACCAAGGGGCAAAGACAGCCATCTGCAGTGGCCTTGCCACTGGTCACCCTGAGGATGGCTGGCAACGTCTCTCATGGGGGAGGCCTGCTGAGGTCAGGACAGACAGTGAGACAGGGCCAATGAGCCCAGGGAAAGTGGCGATTGCAGAGCCCCGTTTTTAGATGAAAATCCCAAGAGGTGACCCAAAAAAAAACAAGAGGGGATATTGAAGAGATGTGAAGAGCAACGCTTTTGATAGGAAAGGGAGAGGTGACAGGTGAGCCAGAGAACAGGTGGAAAGGTGTGGGAAGTCTTGGCCTCTCTCTTTGACTTTAGCTTAGATTGTTATCAGCTCCATCCAAAGCCCATCACAGAGCTTTGCCCATGGAGAACTCTCTCCCTGAAGCCCTAAGTGCAGATCTTCAGGCTGGTAGACTGCCCCCGCCCAGCCAGTCCCCACTGCCCCGCCTTCCTTGCTGCAGCGCCCCATCCTTGCCCCCTGGTTCGCCAGTGAAGATATGAAGGGCAACAATGACATTCTCAGGCATGGAGGGGAGCGAGGCAGTGGGGTTACCCAGGAAAGAGTGGTGTCTCCTTCGGCACGGCGTGCGGTGGTGGCTCTTTTGCTTCTGTGACTCTTTTTACCCATTTTCACTTTTCCTTCCCCACAGTGGACACTATGAGTCCATATAGTTCTTCCCACCTGTTCTCCTGCCTTGTTTTCCTTTCCTATGGTAAAATGAGGAAAGCACAGGGTTAAGGAAGATGGTAAGTGGGTGCTTCTCCTCCCATGCAGACGAGCAGCCAGCAGCAGCTCCTGAGCCCCACGCTGTCGGATCGAGGAGGAAGCCGGCAAGACGCAGCTGATGCAGGGAAACCCCAGAGGAAGTTTGGACAGTGGCGTCTGCCCTCGGGTAGGTACATCCAGGCATTTCTCTACCGATCAAGGCATTTTAAAGGTATTTACTTTATGTGTTTTGGGTCTTGCATTTCAAAATGTAAGTCTGCATCTACAGTCGTTTACAGACAGCGACATAATGAAAAATGTAGTCTTGTTAAAATCATTGTCCCACCCCCTCCCCCCACCAAATAACTTCTCTAAATATGACCTACATTAGCCCCCATTTTCTGGGTACATTTCAGGCTGCCATGGTCTAGAAGCCAGCACCTATGAAAAAGCCAAGATTCAGAAAGAGGGAGAGATTTCCAAGGGCTTCCTTCGTGCATCAAGGCACGCTCAAACATAGGTGAAACTTATTTAATTGAAGAGGGAGTAGGCAGGTGCAATCATTCAGAAAATGCCACAAAGTTCTCAAAAAAGGGACCAGCCCCCACTTTGTCTTAGCATTCACTTTGCAGCTGAGCCAGTCACTGTCTTTAGGCAAGCTGCTTTATCTCATTCGATCCTTTCATTTAATAAAGAATTCCATTATTTACCATATTTTACCGATTTAGTAAGAGAATTGTCTTCTATGAGCTTCTTCTATATAAGGTTTTGGAAAGCCAGGCTAATCCCATGAAGAACACTCAGGAATGGAGAGAGAACAATGCTCCCCGCAGCCTAGTGTCCTTGTATGTGTTTTTCTTTTTTTTTTTTTCTGGTTTTTTGTTCTTTGTTGAGATGGAGTCTCACTCTGTCACCCAGGCTAGAGTGCAGTGCCGTGATCTCGGCTCACTGCCACCTCCGCCTCCTGGGTTCAAGCGATTCTCCTGCCTTAGCCACCCAAGTATCTGGGATTACAGACACCCACCGCCATGCCTGGCTCTGTTGTTTTTTGTTTGTTTGTTTTGATATGGAGTCTCGCTCTATCACCCAGGCTGGAGTGCAGTGGCACGATCTCAGCTCACTGCAACCTCTGTCTCCCGGGTTCCAGTGATTCTCCTGCTTCAACCTCCCAAATAGCTGGGATTACAGGAGCATGCCACCGCTCCTGGCTAAGTTTTGTATTTTTAGTAGACAGAGTTTCACCTTGTTGGTCAGGCTGGTCTCAAACTCCTGACCTTGTGATCTACCCATATCAACCTCCAAAGTACTGGGATTACAGGTATGAGCCACCACACCTGGCCCATTTTTGTATTTTTATTAGAGATGGGGTTTCACTGTGTTTGCCAAGCTGGTCTCGAACTCCTGACCTTGTGATCCGCCCACCTCACCTCCCAAAGTGATAGGATTACAAGTGTGGGCCACCGCACCCGGCCACATGTTTTTCTCTATAGTTAACTAAGTTCATGCCGAAGCAGGAGCTTTATAATGCTCCTTAACTGTCCCCCAACTTCAGCCCAATTGAAGTGAGTAGATGTGTAGCATATGTGTTCTGCAAAGCGGAGGACAGCACCACTTACATTTTGAGGCCAGCGATGTTGAGTGGGTCTTCATGGAGACTACCACCAAGGAAGGTATCCCCTTTTGTATCCAGGAACTTGTTTTTCAGGAAGCAGGTTTCCTCCTGATTCAAACAAAGCAGAGAATGATGGCATCAGGACAGAGTAGGTGGTAGCGCCAGGTCACAAAAAGCCTTAAATCACAAGCTGAGTAGGTTCAGTGTTATCCTGTAGGCAATTAGGAGCTAGCGAAGATTTCTGAGAAACATGTGACTTTTGGAATCTGTGCTTTAGGAAGCTGACTTGGCAGCAAGGGAGAGTGAATTGTCTACAGCTGAGCCTAGAGGCAGGCAACGGGCTGGAAGAAGTTGCAGTGGTGTGAGAACCAGGCAGCGAGGGCATGGACAGAGCTGGGGCCAGATGCTGCAGGGATAGATAGATAGGAGAGGTGACCCGAGGCAAATGCACAGTCATTGGTATTCACTTAAATGGACAGAAGAAAAGAGGCTGTCAAAAGTATGACCATTGGTCTGGGTGCAGTGACTCACGCCTGTAATCCCAGCACTTCGGGGGGGCCAAGGCGGGTGGATCATGTGAGGTCCGGAGTTTGAGACCAGCCTGGCCAAGATGCTGAAAACCCTGTCTTTACTAAAAATACAAAAATTAGCTGGGCGTGGTGGTGCACACCTGTATTCCCAGCTACTCAGGAGACTGAGGCAGGGGAATTGCTTAAACCCAGGAGGCAGAGGTTGCACTGCCCCTGCACTTCAGTCTGGGCAAGAGAGTGAGACCCTGTCTCAAAAGAAAAAAAAAAGTACTTCCACTGGTCTATGTCTAGATAGCCCCCATCAAAAATGGTGACAGGGGTCAGGCTGAGTTTGGGAAGGCAGAGGGAAAGAAAAACAGTATTTTGAGGGGGCAACAACAACGTGATAGGTGTCATGCTATGCGCTTAGGCCATCTCATGTAACCCATTTTAATCCTGACAATAGTCTCATTAGGACATTGTCATTGTCTTCATCTTGCACTGGAGGAAATTTGGGTTGAGAGACATGAAGTTGCCCATCACTACATACTCACAGGTTACAGAGGTGGGTCCCAAGACCATGACTGTGGGACCCCAGAACCGCACCTCTCCTCCCACACCCTCACTCAAACCTCCTCGCCTTCACTGTGGGTCACGCTCTCCTTCCTTTTTGTTTCCTTCTTTATTGCATATGCTAACAAATGCACATGTTTCTATGACCCTGAATAGCTCCCAAATTGGAATTTTTAGTGACTTTCTAGCTTTTCTATTATTTCAGAATGTAAGGGGTGAGCAGCACTTCTTTCCCCAGATGGCATTAGTAGTTGTCCATGAGCATAATTTTTAAAAATCTATCATGAACATAAAGCATGGAGTCCTGGAAAGGATGTTTCCTTAGCATCTGTGGATAGGACATGTTAGCCGAAACTATCGCTGATGGGAATATCATGGGTTTCAGGAATTATTACAGTGGAGTGGAGCAGCACCAAGTGGCTCATAAGATTCATTAATTCCACAGCGCCAAAACCAATAAGCCATTCAGTGTCCTCAGTCAACTTACGGTTTGGAGGGAGGACCACCATGAAATCCGTAGTGTGCAAAATGAACCCCATGACTGACGTGGCTTCCTGCGGTTCTGAAGTTAAGAAGTGGTGGACCCGGCAGCTGACCGTGGAGAGCGACGAAAGCGGGGATGACCTCCTGGATATTTAGGGGGACGTCAATGTGGATGAATTTCTAGTGGTAAAAACTGTTTTCTAATAATTTCCTTGAGTGTCCAATGAGCAATCTGTAATTGATCTGTCATTTCAACTTGTCAGAAGATTTTTATAAACTGATTATCGTCCTGCCAAAGAAAGGCATAAGCTGCGTTATGACAGGTTACTATCATCGTCTAAAAAGTTTGTATAATGACTGCACTGATAATATTAGAAACTATACCACAAGCAAATGTATATCACTCAAAAATGTCATATTCTGTGTAAACTAAGGTGTATATTCATATGTGCTCTAATGCAGTATTATCACCATGCGCCAAAAGACTGCTAAGCCAAAGTGGCTGATGTTTATGGTACAGAGGCTACAGCTTTAGTTCACTTCTTTCCCGTTTCTGCTAGAAATATTTCTCTTGGAAAAATTATTTATGATTGATCTCAAAAGGTCAGCAATGAACTTTTATGCTAAAATGATAGTTTTACAAACTACAGACTCTGAATTTTTAAAAGTATCTTCTTTTTCTCATGGTATGTTTTAAAATATACACAAGATATTTGGGACCAGAAAAAGTTGATTTCTGTCCTCAGTTATACTAATGGCACTGTTGCCTCCTTCCAAGAAAATTGTCTGTGCAAGCACCAGGCAAAGAAATGGGCTCAGAATGCTTACTGGCTTAAAACAGACCTGTAGATAAATAATTTGAGTGACAGAGTTGTGCAAAGATACTAAGTTTCTGAAGAAGCCTCTTAATAACTGAGTTTAGCAAAAAAACAAACTATATATCTCAATTTATTTACAAAAACTTTGCACGTATGATGTTTGTTACCGTTGGCTTCATTTCCTACCCAAGGTGTGTCTGTTTTGCCATAAATCAACAGAGTCATTTCATTATGGGTTGATCTGAACATACCAGATTTGAAATGACATGTCTGTTACCAGGATCTCCTATGGAAATAAATAATGGTGATTTGTTTGGAAAATCTGACTAGAACTCACAGGTTAGAGATCACATGACTTGTTTTTTGTTTTTTTTTGGGTTTTTTTCTTTATATGTCAATGGCCCATGTCCTCCGTGAAAATCTGAAAAGCAAAATGACAAAGTGCTGTTAGATTTCTCGTGCTTGATCAGCCAAGTAGAAATGGATTTGGACCTTTTAACTATTTTATTACACATTGGACATTTGCTGTTTAGATGTTTTTCAACAGTGGGATTATCTCAGAATCCTCTGACCTCCAGGTTGCTTTAGGATCTACTTTTCTCTATTGAACATTCCTCAGATAGGCAAACAGCACATTCCTGCTGTGTCACAGATGTAGCATGGTGGTGGCAGTCTATGGCGTATATGATTCGCTGTAACTATGAGATAAAGTCCAACAGTCCATGCAGCCAAAAGGCTTGGATTTGATTTTATGTTCACTTGCAGTTTACTTTTTGTACATAAAAATAATAAATATTGGATTTGCAAAATAACTTACCCTGAGTTGACCATGTTTAAATCCTTTCTTGGCGGGGCAGGCGCTCAGTAGCAGCACTTTGCAAACCCTGGATTGAATATTCAGTCCATAATTAGCTGGCAAAAGCTGGGTCCCTGATACTCATTTCGACTCAATTCCCTGGGCTGGAATGTTCCTTCTCCGCTTGTGCTGATAAGCCTGAGTGAATACCCTGTGCCTTCCAAGCCTACAATGAACAGAAAAGGCACTTACCTGTCCAGGTCACGGGTCTGTACAAGTGCTGCATGAAAACAAGATTTTTTTTTTTTTTTTTGGCTTATTACACTTGAGTAACACAGCTTCATTCTCACGGAACTGCTGAGCCCTTCCTAAAACGTCTGGAATTGATATTCAGGAGAACATCATTGCTGTTCACGCTGCAGTGAAGCCGGGGCAGAATACCAATGTATTTCAAGCCATAGCACCTTATATTTTCAATGAGGCAAAACAGTCACACACTTCTTGTGGGATTCCCCTCTGATTTTCCTGAAACAGGCAGAGCAGGTACAAGAGAAAGTAAGCGCCACCCCCTTTTAGATTTTACCCCTAGATACGTAAACATATGAACAAAGTGTTACACATAGGAAAACTTGGGCCACAGTGTTCCCTGGTCCTTAGGGAAGCCAGATGCTGATACTGATCCTGTCATCACGACACCCACCACCTTTAATTAGAGGATGCCATCAGTTCCAAAGGCATCAGAAAGCATACAGCATGGAATACTTGACTCAGAGTCCCCGAGAGAGTGGGCCACACATGCGTGACCCTTACAGCAATTGAAAGGGACTCAAAGAGGACAAGCATGAACAGAATGGAAGAGCCGATGCGATTTACTCCATTCTTAACGGTGCTTCCAGTCCAACACCCATCAGCAGCATCTGGCTGGCTGTGCCTTGAACAAGCTAAATGAGACGAAGGCATGTAGAAGGAAAAGCCAGCATTATAAAGCCTTACAGGAAAGCAGCTTTAAGCCAGTGGAATGATGTGTTTGCCTGTTTCTTTGTAGGAAGTGGCATTCTATACATGGGTGGTTTTAAATATATTGGTAAGCAGTGGAAATGTTTCTCAAAGTCTTTCAACAGATCCCAAAATTGTAACCAGGCAAAAGCCAGGCAGCCCTGGTTAAGTTTAGGTGAAGATGAAAATGCCACTGATACGGTCTCTTCTCACCCATTATTATGGGTTGAAGTGTGACCCCTAAAAGGATAGGTTGAAGTCCTAATCCTTAGTACCTGTGAATATGACCTTATTAGGAACTAGGGTCTCTGCAGATATAATTAGTTATGAGGAGGTCATACTAGACGAGAGTAGTCCCTATAACAACATACCTGGTATCCTCTGAAGACAAGGAGACACAGCAGGAAGAGAATGCCACATGAAGACACAGGCAGGCGGGGAGGATGGCCATGAGACTGTGAAGGCAGAGGCTTCAGAGCTATGCTGCCAGGAGCCAAGGAACACTTGGGCTACCAGAAGCTCCAAGAGGCAAGGAAGGGGCCTCCCAGAGCCTTCCAAGGGAGCCTGGCCTCCTATTGACACCTTGATTCCAGACTTCTGGCCAGAATAACTATGAGAGAATACACTTCTGTTGTTTAAGCTACCCAGTTTGTGATCATTTGTTACAATAACCCTAGAAAACAAATATGGCCTCCAAAACCCACTCCACCTCCCAGAGATGCCCCAAGGAACTCAGTTTGTAAGATACCAGGATAGATCACTTGATGGCTGATCATAGCTACAGAGTCAATTTCCTTTCATTGCCATGAGGTTCTCATCCCCTTGGGTTCTCTTCCCACAGCTCATGTGCATCCAGCAGGAGACACTTCTGTCCCTCCTCTGTGTTCAAACTGCTATTCAAAGGTTACTTTAACTAGAGAAGGCTTTTCTTTTGTCTGCTTTTTTGTCTTTTTAGTTTTTTAGTCTCTGTCTTCTCTCTATTAACTCCTTTTCCAGTTCTACTTTAGGGTTCCCTAACACTGAACCTCCTTCTTCCTCCATTTCTTATTCACCCCCCATAACCATAGCTACACCCAGGCTCGATCTTGTCCACCCCTTTCTCCCCAACCCACAAGATCTCTTTTCACACCTCTAGAAATACATCTGTACATACTTCTAGAAATACATTTGTACGTACTTCTAGAAATACGTTTGTACGTACTTCCAACCTCTGCTTTGACTAGTTCTTCTATGATGCTTCCCAAACTCTTGTTTCTAGCTCCCAGGGAACTAGCAACCCAAGAATATAACAGCTCTCCCATAAGTACTTCCCCACCTTCCTTCTTTTTTATCTCAGTGTTTTTGTACATGTTCATTCATCCTCCCCCCCTTCTTTTCTCTTTTTTTTTTTTTTTTTTTTGAGATGGAGTTTCGCTCTTGTTACCCAGGCTGGAGTGCAATGGTGCGATCTCGGCTCACCACAACCTCCGCCTCCTGGGTTCAGGCAATTCTCCTGCCTCAGCCTCCCGAGTAGCTGGGATTACAGGCACACACCACCATGCCCAGCTAATTTTTTGTATTTTTAGTAGAGACGGGGTTTCACCATGTTGACCAGGATGGTCTTGATCTCTTGACCTCGTGATCCACCCACCTCGGCCTCCCAAAGTGCTGGGATTACAGGCGTGCCTTCTTTTCTGTCTTACAAGGAACCTCGCTTCTTCTCCAAGTCTTACTTCCCGACATGAGCCATCTATCCTATCTCTTTATTTCCATAAAAACTTTCTGAGCATCTTCTATATACTCTGCTGTGTGCCTTGTGAAGAAGCCAGAGCTGAGCATAGCAACATGATCTTTTGCTTAAACTGCAGTGGGAGAGACAAGACAGATGCGCAGGTCCCCTTGATATACGGTAATTGTAAAATCTGCCATAGAAAGGTGGAGTGGTGATCAGAGGAGGCTTTTGGGGTGGTGGTGCCATTTGAATAGAGCATGAAAGAAAGAATAATTGGATTTAAGTTGTCATAGAAGGGAAGCAGCAAACAGAATGATGCCTGGAATAATAAAAGGAAAATTATCAAGGAGAGCATCAGTTAACTCTCTTCAATGAATTCCAAGCCTTCTGAATAGGAATGCAAAGGCAAGACTCGAGCCTTGCTCAAGGGCATGAAGAACGTTGACTGCCCCACACTTCATGTGGACTGTGATCAGTAGAAAAGGGGAGTCTGTGGAGGTGGGAGGGAGGAGATTATAGTAATAATGCAAGGTTCAGGCTTTAGGAGGAGCAAACCAGGAGCAATGTGCAAAATGGAAGTGATGAGGAAGAGATGGATGCGGGGTGAATGTTTACAATTCTCAGCTCTCCAGGAGAATTGTGTTCTAGTTCTCCATCCTCGAAGTTCAACTGCTATAGCGGCCTGGGACACGGAAGGAAAGTGGAGATGTGACAAGAACTTACTGAGATGAAAGGGGCTGCAGGACCCACCACACCAGGCTCATTCAACCGGCACCAGGGACTCACTCTTCCAAACAACACTGCCCTTTGTGCATCTTTTCTTGAACCAGGACCCACAGAAACACACTGACCATTTTCTGGACCTAATTCCAGAAGACATTTTCTCTCCTAGATTTCTCCCACAGGCCTTTTAATTGTAACTTTCATTTAACTCATTTTATTTAACAAGCCTTTTTGTTTGATTCTCAGTTCCCTGGACCACCTGTTAATCTTTTACATTATAATTCTTTGGAAATACTACTCCTGGAACCTGCTAGCTGAATGGAATTTACAAGCTGGGAGTTTACTAGGTGGAATGTTCTAGTTGATGGGAGAGGGGTGGCCCTTCCAGACTCACCTGCTCTTAACAGCTATCCCCCCATGGAACACCCCTTTTCTCTTTGACTTCAGGGTTACATTTTGAGATGTTGGCATCAAACGGTTCAGATATTATTGTGGGGATGGGATGAAGAAGAAGAAAAGAGGTGTGGGAAGAAGAGAACTAAGACAAAAGAAACAGAAGTTCCCTAGAAAGACACACACACACATTCTCCCTTTATCTACTGACCACAGCGGTCTGGAACCAGGACTTACCATAAATAAAGCCAGTTAATTTTTTCTGGATAGAATTATGGTTCATCCTCTGACCTAGCTGGTTCCAGGTCTCACAAAATCTTTTCTATATCATCTAAGCCCCTCATTAGTCCCCAGACCTCTCTCCAACCATGCTCAAGGTCAAGGCTTCCCATTAAAAAAAATTCTCTGGGCAGAAGAGTGTTTTCAGTCTCTCTCCTCTCCAACGTGAACCATTCTATCTGCCCTCCTTCCTCCCTGGCTTCAAACATGGACGCTGTCTCTCTTCCAACCCTTTCCAACAGACCTTTCATCTGTGCCAACTCTCCAGTTTCTGACATACCATCTTCTTATTGCACCCCCTACATTCTTGAACAGAAGTCAACCCCAGACTGAACATGCCGCACGTTTCCTGATTCCCGGGACATTCTTCTTCCATCAGGACGGAGCTCAGTAATGTCCAGTGCAGTTTCAGTGCAAAAGTTACTCCAGAATGATCTCCTTTCCTGTGATGAGCTTCTGATAATTCAATTCACAGGGGGGAAAAACAAAGTAGCTTTCCAAAAGACAGGGTACCCTCTAATTAGGAAGGGCTGACTGAACTCTGTCTGTAGTAATTTATCAATGGAAAGTATAAATAACACAAGACATGATGTAATTGACTGAGATCAACTATTTGTCTAATGAATGAATCATCAGGTAGGTCACTTACTCATCCATTCAAGATTGAGGCAGGCACGCTTCTTGCTCTGTGAGTCTACAGATGGACACTCTATACACACAGTGCTCATGGTCTACTGGGGAAGCAGAAAATAAACAGGTAAATATAAAAGTCAGAAGGTTTTAAGTGTAATGGAGAAAAATTAACTTGGGTAAGAAGGATGGGCCTGGCCAGGTGTTGTGGCTCACACCTGTAATCCCAGCACTTTAGGAGGCCGAGGCAGGCAGATCACGAGGTCAAGAGATCAAGACCATCCTGACCAACATGGTGAAACCCAGTCTCTACTAAAAATACAAAAATTAGCTGTGCGTGGTGCCATGCACCTGTAGTCCCAGCTACTCAGGAGGCTGAGGCAGTAGAATTGTTTCAACTTGGGAGCTGGAGGCTGCAGTGAGCCAAGATCGTGCCACAGCACTCCAGCCTGGAGAGAGAGAGAGACTCAGTCTCAAAAAAAAAAAAGGAAGGTACCAGGCACAGTGGCTCATGCCTGTAATCCCAGCATTTTGGGAGCCTAAGGCACGTGGATCAGGAGGTCAAGAGGTCAAGACCATCCTGGCCAACATGGTGAAACCCTGTCTCTACAAAAAATTCCAAAAGTAACCAGGTGTTTGGCACACACCTGTAGTCCCAGCTACTCGGGAGGCTGAGGCGGAAGAATCGCTTGAACTCAGGAGGTGGAGATTGCAGTGAGCTGAGACTGTGCCACTGTGCTCCAGCCTGGCAACAGAGCAAGACTCCATCTCAAAAAAAAAAAAAAGAAAAGAAGGATAGGCCTTTCTCTTGGATGTAATTTAGTCATTAAAGGACTCACCGCTCAGTTGCCATTTCGGCAGAGGCCTGAGAAGGTGAGCGTGGCAGCCGTGGAGATGTGCTTCCACAAAAGTCGCTCTCTGCTGACAGCTTCTAGCTGCTGGTGCTTTCAGGATCTTCCTTGGTCTTTTGTTTTCTTAACTATGTTTTTTTACTGTAGTAAAATGTATGCAGCATAAATTTTACCACTTCCATCATTTTTCAGATTTTTAAGTGGTGTTCATTATATTCACAATTCTGTGCAACCATCACTACCATCTGGTTCCAAGAATTGTTACCACCTCAAACAGGAACTGTACCCATTAAATGATAACCCCCCATCCCTTCCTTCTGCAAGCTTCGGTACCTTCTAATCTACATCTATCTCTATGGATTTACCTATTCCAGACATTCACCATAAGTAGGAGCATACAATGTTTGTCCTTCTGTGGCTGGTTTATTTTACTGAGCACAGTGTTCCCAGTGTTCATCCTGGTGTGTGTCCATACTTTATTCCTTTCCATGGCCGGATACTATTCCACCGAATGTGCATACTACGTTTTGTCCATCCACTCATCTGTTGATGGACATTTGTTTTTTTCTGCCTCAGCTTTGGAGTGGAGGCCACATGCTTCCTGGATAGCCCTCAGCCAATGACGGAGCACAATGATACAAGGGCTTACCATTTCCCAGGCAGCGTGGGACTCTTCCACAGGCAATCTCTGTAGCCAAAGCTCCCCACTGGGCTGGCTGACACTTTCTCAGTGCAGCACGTGTGGAAATCAGAGGCTCTTCCTCCAATCCTCCTTTCTCCTCCTCTCCCTGAAAGGGTGTCAAACCTGCACTGTGGTCTCAAGGCCCAGCCTGCCCACTCCTGCCCCTTCCCCACTTTACCTTTCACAGGCCTTACCCCCGATACATCTCGAACTCTCCTAAAACTGCCTTGAAGTCTGCTTCCCAGAGGATCAGCCAACACAGTGAGAGAGTGGGCCACAAAAAGGCCTTGGGCAAGGGCGTTCCTGGCAGAGGAAATGGGAAGTGTCAAGGCCCTCAAGTGGGGTAGGTTTGGTCAGTTGGAGAAAATAGCAAGGAGGCGATGCTGGCCTGGAGCCCAGAGAGTAAAAGGGAAAGAGCAATGACATGAAGTCAGAGAGGTCACAAGAATCATATCATTCAAGACTTCCTAGGCAGCGGCAGGCAGGATTCTAAAGGTATCCCTTACTATTACTATCTCCCAGTCATTCAATCAACCATTAACTTGGGTACTGCTGTGATGAGATTTGGCAGATGTCATGAAGATAGCAGACCCTAAACCAGGGAGTGGAACTCATCTAAAATTAGAGCAATGTCTGGCTGGAGTGAGAAGAGTAAGGAGGAAAGATCTGAAGTGAGAGAGGGACCCTACCTGCTGTGGGTGGAGGGCCCACCTGGAAAGACTGAGGAATGTAAGCAGCATCTAGGAGCAAAGGCCGCCCTGGGCTGACTGTGAGAAAGGAAAGGGAGATCTCAGTGTTACAACTACAAGGAACTGAATTCAGCAAATAACCTGAATGAACAAAGACACACATCCATCTCCAAAATTTTCAAAAGGGAATGCAGCCTTGTTGGCCCCTTGCTGTCAACCTAATAAGACTCAGGGCAGAGAAACCAGCCAAGTCTATGGGACTCTGACCTGCAGAACCAGGAATTAATAAATGGATGTTGTTTTTAGCTGCTAAAATGGAGACAATTCCTTATGCCAGCAAGAGGAAACTAATACAAGAGAGCTGGCAAGATGACGGAAGAGGAACAGCTCCAGTGTACAGCTCCCAGTAAGACCAATGCAGAAGGCAGGTGATTTCTGCATTTCTAACTGAGGTACCCAGTTTATCTCACTAGGGCCGGTTAGATAGTGGGTGCAGCCCAGAGAGGGTGAGCAGAAGCAGGGTGGGGTGTCACCTCACCCTGGAAGTGCAAGGGGCCATGGACTTCCCTCCCCTAGCCAAGGGAAGCCTTGAAGGACTGTGCCATGAGGGACTGTGCTTTTCCCACAGTTTTTAATAGATACTATGCTTTTCCCACAGTTTTTACAATCCACAGACCAGGAGATTCCCTTGTGTGCCTATACCGCCAGGGCCCTGGGTTTCAAGCACACAATTGGGCAGCTGTTTGGGCAGATGAACAGCTGAAGGAGTTTTTCTTCACAACTCAGTGGCAGCTGGAACCCCAGAGAGACAGAACCATTCACTCACCAGGGGGCTGAAGCCAGGAAGCCAAGTGGTCTTGCCCAGAGGCTCCCACTCCCACAGAGCCTGGCAAGCTAAGATCCACTGGCTTGAAATTCTTGATGCCAGCACAGCAGTCTGAAGTCAACATGGGATGACTGAGCTTGGTGGGGCGAGGGGCATCCGTCATTACTGAGGCTTGAGTAGGTGGTTTTCCCCTAACAGTGTTAACTCTGACTGTCCAAAACTCACTGCAGCATGGGAAAGTGCCTAGGGCCAGATTGCCTCTCTAGATTCCTCCTCACTGGGCAGGGCATCTCTGAAAGAAAGACAGCAACCCTAATCAGGAGCTTATAGATAAAACTCCCATCTCCCTGGGACAGAGCACCTAGGGGAAGGGGTAGCTGTGTGTGCAGCTTCAGCAGACTTAAACGTTCTTGCCTGCCGGCTCTGAGGAAAGCAGCCAATCTCCCAGCACAGTGCTCAAGCTCTGCTAAGCAACAGACTGCCTCCTTGAGGGGGTTCCTGACCCCTAAGCCTCCTGATGGGGAGAAACCTTCCAGCAGGGGTCAACAGACACCTCATACAGGAGAGCTCCAGCTGGCATCACACAGATGCCCCTCTGGGATAAAGCTTCCAGAGGAAGGAGCAGGCAGCAATCTTTGCTGTTCTGCAGCCTCCACTGGTGATACGCAGGCAAGCAGGGTCTGGAATGGACCTCCAGCAAACTCCAGCAGACCTGCAGAAGGGGTCTGACTGTTAGAAGGAAAACTAATAAACAGCAATACCATCATCGTCAACAAAAAAGATGACCACTCAAAAACCCCATCCAAAGGCCATCAGTATCAAAGATCAAAGGTAGATAAATCCATGAAGATGAGGAAAAACCAGTGCAAAAATGCTGAAAATTCCAAAAACCCAGAATGCCTCTTCTCCTCCAAATGATTGTAACTCCTCTCCAGCAAGAGCACAAAACTGGACAGAGTGAGTCTGACAAATTGACAGAAGTAGGCTTTAGAAGGTGTGTAATAACAAACTCCTCTGAGCTGAAGGAGCATGTTCTAACCCAATGCAAGAAAGCTAAGAACCTTGATAAATGGTTATAGGAACTGCTAACTAGAATAACCAGTTTAGAGAACATAAATGACTTGATGGAGCTGAAAAACACAGCACAACAACTTCGTGAAGCATACACAAGTATCAACAGCTGAATCAATCAAGCCAAAGAAAGTATATCAGAGATTGAAGATCAACTTAATGAAATAAAGCATAAAGACAAGATTAGTGAAAAAAGAATGAAAAGGAATGAACAAAGCCTCCACGAAATATGGGACTATGTGAAAAGACCTAAGATTGACTGGTGTACCTGAAAGTGACAGGGAAAATGGAACCAAGCTGGAAAACATACTTCAAGATATTATCCAGGAGAACTTCCCCAACATAGCAAGACAGGCCAACATTCAAATTCAGGAAATGAAGAGAACACCACAAAGATACTCCTCAAGAAGAGCAACCCCAAGAAACATAATAATCAGATTCTCCAAGGCTGAAAAGAAAAAAAAAATGTTAAGGACAGCCAGAGAAAAAGGTCAGGTTACCTACAAAGGGAAGGCCATCAGACTAACAGAGGATCTCTCTGCAGAAACCCTATAAGCCAGAAGAGAGTGGGGGCCAGTATTTGACATTCTTAAAGAATATTCCAACCCAGAATTTCATATCCAGCCAAACTAAGCTTCACAAGCAAAAGATAATTAAAATCCTTTACAGAACTTAAACAAATTTACAAGAAAAAAAACAACCCCATCAAAAAGTAGGTGAAGGATATGAACAGACACTTCTCAAAAGACATTTATGCAGCCAACAAACATGAAAAAAAGCTCATTATCACTGGTCATTAGAGAGATGCAAATCAAAACCACACTGAGATACCATCTCACGCCAGTTAAAATGGTGAAAATTTAAAAGTCAGGAAACAACAGATGCTGGAGAAGATGTGGAGAAATAGGAATGCTTTTACACTGTTGCTGGAAGTGTAAATTAGTTCAGCCATTGTGGAAGACAGCGTGGAGATTCCTCAAGGATCTAGAACCTTTTGACTGAGAAATACCATTTGACCCAGCCATCGCATTACCGGGTTTATACCCAAAGGATTATAAATCATTATACTATAAAGATACATGCACATATGTTTACTGCAGTGTTCACAATAGCAAAGATTTGGAAGCAACCCAAATGCCCATCAACAATAGACTGGATAAAGAACATGTGGCACACATATACCATTGAACACTACGTAGCCATAAAAAAAGAATGAGTTCATGTCCTTTGCAGGGACATCGACGAAGCTGGAAACCCTCATTCTCTGCAAATTAACACAGGAACGGAAAACCAAACACTGCATATTCTTCTCACTCACAAGTAGGAGTTGAACAGTGAGAACACATGGACACAGGGAGGGGAACATCACACACCGGGGCCTTTTGGGGAATGGAGAGCAAGGGGAGGGAGAGCCTTAGGACAAATATCTAACACATGTAGTGCTTCAAACCTAGATAACGAGTTGATGGGTGAAGCAAACCACTATGGCACATGTATACCTATGTAACAAACCTGCATGTTCTGCACATATATCCCAGAACTTACAGTTTAATAAATAAGAATAATAAAAGGGAAACTAATACATAGGGCATGATCACATTTTGAGATGTTACTTAAGTATTGTGGGAAGTCGTCAGAAAATGACAAGCTGAGAAATCACTGTCTCTGATATACGTTTTAAGGGTAGTTCTGGCTATGTGTGGAGACTAGACGGTAGAGGCAACACCAGACAGAGGGTGTCCTAACCCATGAAAAGTAACAGTGGCTTCAGCCAGCATGGTGGTGGCAGTGGTGAAGAGGGGTGGGATCCTAGATGAATTTATTTCAAAGGTAGAACCGACAGACTTGTTGACTGATAATGTGAAAGAAAAAACAAAGTCCAGAGTGACCCACACTGAAAGAATGAAGTGGACATTTGTTGAGGTGGGCAAGGCTGACTGGAGGTGGGGGAGAGAACTGACAATCTCAAATTTGAAATCTCAGTCAAGTACCCCAAATGCAAAACCCAAAGGGAGAGGTCAAAGTATGCTTGGTAAGAAGAAATGCATGGGAAATATTTCTAAGACTCTTGGATCCTAAGTCAAATGTGGATGATGAAAAGAATTGAAGCTGTGGAGAGATGGGATGATGGGTTTAGAAATATGGTTTGTTTGTTTTTTTTTTGAGATGGAGTTTCGCTCTTGTTACCCAGGCTGGAGTGCAATGGCACGATCTCGGCTCACCGCAACCTCCGCCTCCTGGGTTCAGGCAATTCTCCTGCCTCAGCCTCCTGAGTAGCTGGGATTACAGGCACGCGCCACCACGCCCAGCTAATTTTTTTTTTGTATTTTTAGTAGAGACGGGGTTTCACCATGTTGACCAGAATGGTCTTGATCTCTTAACCTCGTGATCCACCCGTCTCGGCCTCCCAAAGTGCTGGGATTACAGGCTTGAGCCACTGCGCCCGGTCCAAAAGTGTGGTTTTTGTTGTGTGTTTTGTCTGTCCGTTTCTAAGAGGGAGCTGTTAGTTGTTGTGCGTGGTCTCCCCGTGCCACCACTTCTGGCTGTTCCTACCCACTTCTCCTCAGGCCAGGAGAACTGAGATGAGACAGGGAAGCCTCCCTCAAACAACCACTCAAGGAGTTTTTAAAATGTGAAACCTGCATCTAGAAAGCTTAAGTGAGCTGCGTCTTCTCCGGAAATCTAGAGGTGTGAGGCAAGTCAACAAACAGCCTTGGTGGTCCAGAAAGGACACTGCTGTGCCTGGGCCTGCAATCCTGGTCAGGGCCAGGGATGTGTAAGTTTGCAATTGAGTCAATCTTGGCCAAGTCGGGGAGAGAGAGATGGAGAGAGAGCCAGCATGGGGTTGTTTGGGGCTCAATTTGGTAAAACCACCCAGAGTTCAGAGGATGCCAAGAGCTAGCCGTAGGAGTGGGACACAATGAAGGTAAAACTTCAGAGACTATGGAGAATTGGAGCAGCAAACAACAGAGATGAATCTTTAGAGGGGAGAGGGGCCCAGTGATAGGAAAATACCACCTAAGTGAGTCCCGCTTAAGCAAAGTCAGGTCCTGAGGGGCAAAGCTAGCCTGATCCTGTTCTGTTCCCCTTACCCCTCCACCCTGCCCTCTGCCCCTTGCTAGCAAGAGAGGAGCAGGAGAAAATGAAGTTCAAAAAGTAGATAGAGAAAAGAAATCAAACGTAATCCCTCTCAATTTATCAACTACAGATGTATTAGTTTCTTCATTCTGCTGTAACCAGAAGCTTAGTGTCTTACAACACAAACTGATTATCTAACAGTTCTATGGGTCAGAAAGTCAACACAAGTCTCACTGGGATAACATCGAGGTGTTGGCACTGGAAGCCCTTTCCAGGTTCTGGAAGCTACCTGCATTCCTTGGGTCATGGTCCCACTCTCCATCTTCAAAGCCAGCAATGGTCAATTGAGTTCTTACACTGCCTCTCTCTTCCTTGAGGGTTTGTATTGGTTTGCTAGAACTGTCCTAAAAAAATACAACAGACTGGGTGGCTTGAACAACAGAAATTTATTTTCTTGCAGTTCTAAAGGCTAGAAGTCTGAGATCTGTGTTTCTGTCTCAAGGCTCCAGAGAAAAATCTATTTCCTTGCCCTTTCCAGGTTCTGGAAGCTGCCTGCATTCCTTGGGTCATGGTCCTACTCTCCATCTTCAAAGCCAGCAAAGGTCAACTGAGTTCTTACACTGCTCTTTCTTCTATCTCCTCTTTCCCTCTCTTCTGCAAACCTCTTCTACTTTTAGGGTCCTTGTGATTATATTAAACACACCCAAGTAATCTGAGATAATCTTCCCATCTAAAGTTTTATAACTTAATCACCTCTGTAAAAATCACAAATTCTGGGATTAGGATGTAGATACCTTTGGGTAGGGCATTTTTTCATCGACCACAGTAGACTTCTAGCTTGAAGCAGGCCTGAGTTGGTAGAAGAAAAAGAATTTGACATTGTATCAGGTTCAAATTGGGCCATTTCAATTTCTGAATCAAGACTGTCTTTACTACCTGATATGGTTAGACCCCACCCAAATCTCATCTTATAGCTCCCATAATTCTCATGTGTTATTGGAGGGACCTGGTGGGAGATGATTGAATCATGGGGTCTGGTTTCTCCTATATTGTTCTCGTGGTAGTGAATAAGTCTCATGAGATCTGATGGTTTGATAAGAGGAAACCCAGTTCACCTGGCTCTCATTCTCTCTTTGCCTGCTGCCATCCATGTAAGATGTGACTTGCTCCTCCTTGCTTTCCACCATGTTTGTGAAGCTTCTCCAGCTACGTGGAACTATAAGTCCAATTAAACCTATTTCTTTTGTAAATTGCCCAGTCTCGGGTCTGTCTATTGGCAACATGAGAATGGACTGATACACTATTTAAGATGGCCACTGGGCACTTCTAAATCCTAAGGTTGAACAGAAAATTTGTGGGCTGCTGGAGTTCATATATGAGACCAACGAAGGTCTATGGAATAGATTTTAAAGAGATGGCTGAAAACTAAAAGTGAAGTCTGTTTTAACTATGGCATGAGTTGGGTTCATTTATCATACCAATGACATCAGACTTTAAGGGGAGAAAGTAGAGTTCATGGTTGAATAGACAAGGCCTGGGGTTGACAGAGAGGTATACACATTTGGGAGCATCAGCATAGAGACAGCATTTAAAGCATGAACTGGATAAGACTGTGTGAGGAATGAATGTAAATTAAAAAGGGAGGCTTGAGGGTCTGTATTAGTTTACTAGAACTGTCCTAAAAAAGTACAAATGACTGGGTAGCTTGAATAACAGAAATTTATTTTCTGCAGTTCTAAAGGCTAGAGGTCTGAGATCGAGGTGCCAGCAGGGTTGGTTTTTACTGAGGTCTCTCTTCATGGCATGGAGATGCCATTTCCTCCCTGCATCTTTGCATAATCTTTCCTCTGTGTGTGTCTGCATCCTAATCACTTCTTTTTTTTTTTTTTTTTTTTTTGAGGCAGTGTCTTGATTTGTCACACAAGCTGGAGTGCAGTGGCACACTGCAACTCTGACTCCTGGGTTCAAGCAATTCTCCTGTCTCAGCCTCCTGAGTAGCTGGGACTACAGACAGACATGCACCACCACACCTGGCTAATTTTTTGTATTTTTAATGAAGACGTGGTTTCACCTGTTGGCCAGGCTAATCTCATACTCCTGGCCTCAAGTGATCCACCTGCCTCTGCCTCCCAAAGTGCTAGGATTATAGGTGTGAGCCACTACACCAGGGCCTAATTTTTTCTTATGAGGACATCAGTCATACTGGCTTAGGGTGCACTCATATAACCTCATTTTACCTTAGTCACCTTGTTAATGACCCTATCTCCAAATATAAGCATTTTCTGGAGTACTGGATATTAGGACTTCAACTCATGAATTTGGAGGAAGACACCATTCAGCCCATAACAAGATCCCTGGTAGGACTCACTGGCAAAGGCTATTAGGATGGCCTTTCAGAGAAAAGAAAAGGTAAGTCCTGAGCCTGCTCAAGAGCCAACCAAGACACTCCACTCAAACATGGATACCTGAAATCTCCATGTGCAGCCTGGGAACTCACAGCCAGAAAGTTTCTTCCTCAATCAGCTCAGCTTAGCATCTCACTGTCATGTAATATCACTCCCTATCTTCTCCCTCTAATCAATAAGAAGGTCCCCATTTAAAAATTGCATCTTGACATCACACTTTTATTAGGATGGTTGATAACAACAAAAAAAAAAAAATCTCAAAATCCAAAACAAAAACAGAAAATACTAAGTGTTGACGAGGATGTGGACAAAGTGTAATACTTGTTTTTTGTACACTGTTAGTGGGGATGTAAAATGGTGCAGTCACTATGGAAAACACTATGGTACATCCTGAAGTTAAAAACAGAATTAATATACAATCCACTTCTGGGTATATATATCCAAAAGAAGGAATTGAAAGGAAGGTCTCAAGGAGAGATACTTGTATACTCCTTTATATGACAGCATTATTCACAAAAGCCAAAAGGTAGAACCAACCTAAATGTTTATCAATAAATGAATGGGCAAACATAATGTGGTTTATGCATATAATGGAATATTATTTTGTTTTAAAAAGAAAGCAAATTTAATACATGCTACAATAGGTATGAAACTTGAGGACATTATGCTAAGTGAAATAAGCTAGTCTCAATAAGATGAATACTGTATGATTTTATTTAAATAAGATATCAAGAGTCATAAAACTCATAGAAACAGAAAGTAAAATGGTAGTTGCTAGGGACTAGGGGGAGAGCAAGTTGTTGCTTAACGTGTATAGAGCTTCAGTTTTGCAAGATGAGTAGTATACTTAATACTACTGAAGTATAACTTAAAATCTTTAATATAGCAATTGTTATATGTATTCTATCACAATTTAAAAATAAAATTATAAATACATTCTATTATAAAACAAAAATAAAATTCAAAGTCTCCCCCCTACCCCACAATCAACTGAATGGACTCCCTCTTCTGGGGCAGGGCACTCCAAAGTTAACCTGAAAGACTGGTTCAGGCCATGATGGAAAGTGGGGGTTAGACATACCTCATTATACCACTCTCTCATTTGGAATTCAGGAAAAGCTGACCAGCATTTAACATCAACATAGACCTTAAGTCTCATAAGAAACATTTACAATCTATTGTCTCTGGAGCTGCTACCTGGAGGCTTCATCAGCATGATAAAACTTTGTTCTCAGCAATATTTTACCATAATTCAGACATTCCTTTCTACTGATAATAAGTCTTTCAACCAATTGCCAATCCAAAAATGTTTAAATCTACCTATAACCTGGAAACCACCCCCCAAACACACTCTTGGTTGTAGCACCTTTCTGAATCAAACCAATGTATATCTTAATTGTATGTGATTGACATCTTGTGTCTCCCTAAAATGTATAAAACTAAGCTATGCCCAAGCACCTTGGGCACATGTTCTCAGGGTCTCCTGAGGGTTGTGTCAAAAGCCAAGGTCACTTATATTTGGCTCAGAATAAACCTCATCAAATATTTTACAGAATTTGACTCTTTTCATTGATGCTATAATCTGATCCCAAAAGCTAGTGACCAAATTGAAGTGGCAGAGCCATTTCAATGCCACCCTTAAATTATACTTCCCTGACTGCCTGCTTTCTACATTGGACCAGTTTACCTGATTTAAATTTCGTACTGTGGTCTCTTGGTGGAAAAGACTCTTGCTGTCATTGAAACCAGCAACAGTATCTTAGTATTTTGCCCCAGTGCTGTATGTTACCCATTCAACTTAAAATCCCCCACAGCTTGCCTGGTAAATGCCTAACCTCCATCTAAATGCTAGAGAACTGGTATCCCATCCCTTGAATTAAGCCATGGATGGTTTATTTAGAGGCAAACGACTCCCTTCATGGGCAGTGGTTCAATGTCAATGCCAATTTTTAAGGCTTGGTTTCAGAATCAACTAAACTACAAGAGGAATTACATGGTTTCATTGTGTTCCTTTCTCAAATTGGTATTTGTCACTCCATTTCCTGTACGATGTGGATGGTGACCCCCAAATAACACTAAGTGGAAACACTTGTTTTGTTGCATCCTTCCTAGTGGTGTTCCTAATGCCTGACTAGCCACCGAGATGTTTATCATTTAAATGAGATTGAACCCATCTGTGGGTGCAGAAATGAACTAGGGCCCATGGGTTCTCTACAAACAAATACGTATTAAAAGGTGAGACTTTTGCATGCTAAACCATGTCAAAACCATCTAAAATAATAAATGAGCAATTTGACCACGGACTGCCAGGAAAAACGGTTTCCAGAAAAGTCGTCTTTAGCCAAGATTCCAAGGAAAAGAGTTGAGCACATAAATTATACCAAGGAAAGGTTGCTTTTTGCTTTGAATTATATGCATATTTTCAGGCACTCTTTAACTGTGAAGACAGGAAATAATAAAAGTAGGTAATACTTTTGGAGCATAAGAATAGGTTGGAAAGATTAAAATAAGGATAGAGGACAAGGGAACACGGAGATGGGAGGAAAATAATAGCCTCTATTCTATCCTCCACTCTGGGTAATAGATCATGCTATCACATGCTTGCAGGTAATGAGGCTCGTGTTGGCCAATGAGTGTGGCAAAGGAGGACAGATGATCTATAACACACAGAATGAGTGTGTCAATCAGGGTTATCCAGGAAAACAGAGCTGGCTGACTATATAGGAGAGATTTAGGTTAAGGAATTGACTCATACCATTATGCCATGGGCCTCAGTTCATTTCTGCACCCACGGATGGGTTCAATCTCATTTAAATGCTAAACATCTCGGTGGCTAGTCAGGCGTTAGGAACACCAAATAGGAAGGATGCAATAAAACAAGTGTTTCCACTTAGTGTTATTTGGGCATCACCATCCACATTGTACAGGAAATGGAGTGACAAACACCAATTTGACAAAGGAACACAATGAAGCCACATAATTGCATTTTGATGACAAGTCCAAAATCTGTAAGGCAAGGCAGCCTACTGGAATTTCAGGCACAACTTGATGTTGCAATCTTGAGACCAAAATCTGCAGGCTAAGAGTCTCTATGTCAAAAGTCTTGAGGCAGAATTCCTTCTTCCAGAAATCTTAATCATCCTTGTAAGTCCTTCAACTGACGGGATGACATCCAGTCACATTATGGATGGTAATCAACTTTGCTCAAAGCTTCCTGATCTAAGTGTTAATCACCTTCCCAGCAACATCCAGCTTGCATTTGATAAAACAACTGGGCACCACAGCCTAGTCAAGTGAACATATAAAATTAACTACCTCAAGGACTACCATTTTTTTTTTTTGAGATGGAGTTTTGCTCTTGTTACCCAGGCTGGAGCGCAATGGCGCGATCTCGGCTCACCACAACCTCCGCCTCCTGGGTTCAGGCAATTCTCCTGCCTCAGCCTCCTGAGTAGCGGGGATTACAGGCACACGCCACCATGCCCAGCTAATTTTTTGTATTTTTCGTAGAGATGGGGTTTCACCATGTTGACCAGGATGGTCTCGATCTTGACCTCGTTCTCCACCCGCCTCGGCCTCCCAAAGTGCTGGGGTTACAGGCGTGAGCCACCGCACCTGGCAACGACTACCATTTTCTTAGTCATAGTTGTTAATTACTATAACCTTAGGTCACTGTCTACCTATGGAATCCAACCAGTTGCCTTTGAATAATCCAACCAGTTATCCTCAGAACAATAAACAAATAATTCTGATTTTATTCACTCACCTTCTCACATTTCTACTCTGAAAGGAAGCTGGGAAAGGAGACTGAGAAAGAGACAGAGATGTTTATTGTGACTTTGTCTGAACATGTGTATTTGAATGTGCTAATCAAAATTCACGAGGCTGTGTCAATGAACTTGAGGAGGCATTACCTACCACAAGGCCCCTTCTTGACCTCCTCTGTCTTATCGGTCCTGGAGCATTAGCACATTCATCTTAGGACAGATCAGACTCGAGGCATTGTCTTCTCTTTCACAGGCTGCATTTCACATTAGAAACATCACATAGGGACCAACCCAGGGAAACCCTGGAAGCACAAAAGAAAACATTGAACACAGTCAGTAAGGGGGCATCAGGCTGGCAACAGGTTGACAATGTATTTCACATAGAACAGGGAAAGCTGTCACGCTGAGCCCAATTCCTCTCTCTGACACCAGGGAGCACTTAGTGGTGGGTTCCCCAAAACACAGAGTAGAGAAAGCCTCCTTCTGTGCCTGTTTGAGCCAAGAGACATGAGTACAGAAAGGAGTCCTCACTCTGGACACATCCGTGAGACCTGCAGTTTAGCTGAAACACTGCTTATTAATTATTTGCAAGGGGCATGTTGCTCTCTTCTCACAAATTGTTTCTTTCTGACCTTTGTTTGGGGAACCACATGGCCATCTCGAAAAGCCTGCCCTTGCCTCTGTGACACTGGTGCTCCTGGTACTTATACTTTTTGCTCATCACTGTTGCAGAGGATGCCACATTTCTGTGTTCTACTAGCTTAGCTTCAGAACCAAACCCATGGAGGGTGTCAAATCAGGTGTTCTTTTTGACTCACTCATTCTTTTTTTCCAAGGCAATGGAAAGGGGCCTTACTTAGGGCCAGGTCAAGAGATAATTGGGAATTCTGCAAAGCCCTAATGAGCACAGCCTGAAGGTCCTGGCTGTGTTCACACTTCCAACAGCCACTATGTGTCGACATGTCACACCACCAGTCCTGATTCTCCCATCCCGAGGTCTCCCAGCCCAGGCAGGGCCTCCACTCCCCTCTGCAATTGCCTCACACCCTTGTCTAACTGTTAATTAGATGCCTCATTTCTTGGCATGTGTATGGGCTTGAGCCATCTGCTTATTGATCTCATCCTTCAGAATATATTGGATTTTAAGGAAGCCAGCCACAAAGCAGCTTCTGTTGCAGGTGGCCCATTGAGATTTCTCCAGAGCATACTCGAGAGTGTATAGTATATGTGACCTGTAGCCATGCACATGAATCAACAAGGTACAGACATACTGCCTGCAAAGCTCAGAGACTCTCACCATCATAACGTGATGCAAAACAACACTCAAAATTCCTACCTGAAATCTTTCCACAATATTTGGTATTGCACAAAAAATATAGAAGTAGGCAGATAAGGTACACACTTACGAAGCCCTCTATACTAGTACTAAAGACTAAAGAGCGAATTGCCTAGCTTGCAGACAATCCTGAAGCTCACTCCTTCACATCAGGTCATGTGTCTGAATCCTCCACCAGACCTTAGAGAGCTGTTGAGGGCATGGACATCTGTCCATATCTGTGCCTCTAGACTCTCTAAGCTGCATATTGGAATATATGTGATTCTTGATGCTGCTCTTTAAACAGAAAACAGGGGAAATGCTTTGAATCTTTTAAATTCACTTCTGAATAAGAATGTCTGATATCCCTGGCATTCATTGTAAACAAAACAACATTCTCATTTTTTTCATCCTGAAACTGTTTTATTCCTCCCTTTAACTCACTTATTATTGGATCACAGCAACTTTTCTTGGGTTAAGGTAAACCACCAGCATAAACAAACAAACAAAAAAAACATAAACTTTCCTGGAGAACATTTGGGATTATTCTTCAGTTAATTAAAATATCTCAGGACCCCTCCAAACTTATGCAAAAGGGAAGATCACTGCAACACCTTCTTCCAAATGAATACCTGTTACCAGCACTACGCATCAGCCAGGTCCCCAGAGAGAGGTAAAAGTCCTCAGGTGAGGTGGAGGTGGAACAAGACGGCAGAATAGAAAACTCCACTCATCATCTCCCCTGCAAGGACACCAGTGTAACTATCCACACACATTAAAAACAAAAAAGCAACAGCAAAAACAACTTCATAAGAACCAACAATTAGGTGAGCCCTCATAGTACTTGGTTTTAACTTCAGAGGTGGGTTGTGATGTGGTGTGAAGAGCATCTCTGGGCACTAAGGGAGGGAAAGCCAAGCAATTGTGAGGCACTGAACTCAGTGCTGTCCTGTTAGAGCGGAAAGGAAAAACCAAAAGGACCTAACTCAGCTCACGCTCACCCACAGAGGAAACATTTAAATCAGCCCTAGCCAGAAAGGAACCGCAGATTCCAGCCATGCAAACTTGAGTTTCTGCAAACCTCGCCACCAAGGGCTACAGCGCTCTGGGCCTCCAAGTAAACCTGAAAAGCAGTCAAGGCCACACGGACTGCAACTCTTGGGCAAGACCTAGTGTGGAACCAGGCCCAGAGACAGTGGACTGAGGACATGCGACATACCAAGACACAAGCTGGGGAAGCCAACAGAGTGTTGGCATCACCCCCCAACCTAACCCCAGGCTGCACAGCTTGTGGCTCCAAAAGAGACCCTTTCCTTCTGCTTGAGGAGAAGAGAGGGAAGAGTGGGGAGGACTTTGTCTTATATCTTGGCTACCAGCTAAGCCACAGCAGAAAAGGGTACCAGTCAGAGTTATGAGGCCTCTGATCCAGGACCTGGCTCCTGCATGACATTTCTAGACACATCCTGACCCAGAAGGGAAGCTGCTGCCTTGAAGGGAAAAACTCGGTCCTGCCAGTACTCATCACCTCCCAACTGAAGAGCGAAGAGCCCGTGGGCCCTGCATAACCAGCAGCAATACCCAGGTATTATGCGGAGGGCCTTGGTGAGCCTCTGGACTTGCTGGTTTCAGGTGAGACTCAGCACATTCCCCTCTATGGTGGCTCTAGGAAAAGACTCCTTCAGCTTGAGAAAAGCAGAAGGAAAAGTAAAGGGGACTTGGTCTTGCACCTTAGGTACCAGTTTGGCCACAGAAGTGCAGAGCACCCAGTGCGCTCCTGGGGTCCCCAATTCCAGGACTTGACTCCTGGATGATATTTCTGGACTGGCCTGTGGCCAGAGCGGAGCCCACTACCCTGAGTGTGAGTCACAGGCCAGGCAGAATTCACTACAAGCTGACTGAAGAGCTCGTCGGCCTTCAGGGATCATTGGCAGTAGTCTGGCAGTAGTCCTTGTGACCTGAGGTGGCAGGGGCTTCGGGGTGAGGCTCCTTTGACTTTGGAAAGGGGAAGGAAGAGCAAGAAGGACTGTACCTTGTTGTCTGAGTGCCAGGTCAGTTGCAATACAATAGAACACCAAGTAGACTTCTAAGGTTTTTGACTCTTGTCCCTGACTCCCAGATGGTACCTCGAGGCCACCTGGGGAAACTTGCTTCCCTGAAGGAAAAGACAAGGGACTGACTGACTTTGGCATCTGCTGACTGTAAAACCCAAGGGCCTTGAGCGAACAGAGGCAGTGGCCAGAGGGAGGTTACAGCAGACCTCGGGTGAGACCCAGTGCTGTGCTGGCTTCAGGTTTGACCAAGTACCGTCACAAGGATGGTGGCCACAGGGGTGCTTGTGTCACTTCACAATCAGCTTTAGGTGGCTCAGAACAGATAGAGAGATTCTGTTTGTTTGGGAGGAGGTAAGAGAAGAGAACAGAAGTCTCTGCCTGGTAATCCAGAGAATTCTCCTGGATCTTGTCCAAGACCATTAGGGTGTTATCTCTACTAGTCTGCAAGAACCACAGTGTTACTGGGCTTGGGTGCCCCCTTGGATGCTTATATCACAACACTCAGTCCTTTGAATATCTGGATCCTTCCCAAGAAGGATGGGTACAAACAAGCCCAGATAGTGAAGACAACAATAAACCCCTAACTTTTCAATGCCTAGACGCCAAAGAACATCTACTAGCCTCAGCACCATCAAGGAAAACATGACCTCACAAAATGAACTAAATAAGGCACCTGGGACCAATCCTGGTGAAACAGAGATATGTGACCTTTTAGACAGAGAATTCAAAACAGCGATGTTGAGGAAACTCAAAGAAATTCAATATAACACAGAGAAGGAATTCAGAATTCTATTGGGTAAATTTAACAAAGAGACTGAAATAATTAAAAAGAATCAAGCAGAAATTCTGGAGCTGAAAAATGCAACTGGCCTATTGAAGAATGCATCAGAGTCTTTTAATAGCAGAACTGATGAAGCAGAAGAAAGAATTAGTGAGCTTGAAGATAGGCTATTTGAAAATACACAGCCAGAGGAGACAAAAGAATAAAATACAATGAAGCACACCTAAAGGATTTATAAAATAGCCTCAAAAGGGAAAATCTGAGAGTTATTGACATTAGAGAGGAGGTAGAGAAAGAGATAGGGGCAGAAAGTTTATTCAAAGGGATATCAGAGAATTTCCCAAATCTAGAGAAAGATATCAATGTCCAAGTACAAGAAGGTTATAGAACACCAAGCAGACTTAACCCAAAGAAGACCACATCAAGGCATTTAATAATCAAATTCCTAAAGACCAAGGATAAAGAAAGGATCAAAAAAAAAAAAAACAAGAGAAAAGGAACAAATAATGAAGCATCAATACTTTTGGCAGCAGATTTTTCAGTGGAAACCATACAAGCCAGGAGAGAATAGCATGACTTATTTAAAGTACTTAAAGAAGAAAATATATATCCCAGAATAGTAAATCTGGTAAAAACACCCTTCAAGCATGAAAGAGAAATAAAGACCTTCCCAGACAAACAAAATCTGAGGGATTTCATCAACCACAGACCTGTTCTATAACAAATGCTAAAGGGAGTTCTTCAATCAGAAAGAAAAGGATGTTCATGAGCAATAAGTAATCACCTGGAGATACAAGACTCATGGGTAATAGTAAGTACACAGACAAACCCAGACTATTACAACACTGTAACTGTGGTGTGTAAACGACTTTTATTCTAAACAAAGACTAAATGATGAACCAGTAAAAAATAGTTACTAAAACAGCTTTTCAAGACATAGATAGTACAAGAAGATGTAAATAGAAAAAACAAAAAGTTAAAAAGTAGGAAGATGAAGTAAAGGTGTAGAATGTTGGCCAGGCATTGTGGCTCATGCCTATAATCCCAGCACTTTGGGAGGCTGAGGCAGGCAGATCACTTGAGGTCAGGAGTTTGAGACCAGCTTGGCCAACATGGTGAAACCCCACCTCTACTAAAAATATAATAATTACAGGC